TTTTTTTGGGCAGAACCAGGGATTGAACTCAGGCCCTTACACTTGCCAAGGAAGCACTTATTCCACTGAGCTGTCTCCCTGGCCCAAATGTTTTGAACCAATTTAGGGTATGAAGACAACTACAACAATGTAACTAAAAATATTCATGAAAGAGACTTTCTAGAACTAGAAATTCAAATGAACAATATATTGTTCATAATGGTTGAAAATTAAAAAAAAAAAAAAACAAATGTCCATCAACTGATGAGTGGTTAAGATTTATGTGGTAGATCAATTTAATATTATTTGGTAATAAAAAGGAATAAGCAAGGTACGGTGGTGGCACAAATTAAATTTTTTTTTTTTTTGGTGGAACCGGGGATTGAACTCAGGCCTTTGTGCTTGCCAGGCAAACGCTTATTCTACTGAGCCATCTCCCGGCCCCCAAATTAAAATTTTGAGCACAGTCTGGGAAACTTAATGAGATCCTGTTTCAAAATAATGGAAAAAATGACAAGGAAGGCTCTGCGGTTCAATCTCCAGTAATGCAATAGGGAGTAAATACTGAAATACTATGACATGATAAACCTTGGGAACAGCACATCACAAAGCACCCATGCACAAAGGACCACATACTGTAATTAACACCCCCCCCCCCCAGAAAAAACATTGGGGACTGAACCCAGAACCTTCAACTGAGCTAAATACCCAACCTTTTTTATTTTTGGAGACAAGATCTCATTAGGTCCACCAGGTTGCAGTTGAACTTGCTATCTTTCTGCTTTAGCCTGGTAAAGTGCTGGAATTGTGTGTTCCATCATGCCAGACTTGTATCACTTCATTTTTGTGTTCAGAATAAATCCAAAGGCAAATACAGATTATATGTAACCACAGCCTAGGAGGTTTCAGAGTAGTGCCTACTAATGTGTCCAGGGTTTCTTTTGGGGTGATGAAAATATTCTGCAATTCAATGGTAATGAAGTTTGTGCAGCTCTGCAAATATCTAAATACCACTTTAAATGGAGAATTTGCATTATATGTACATTGTATCTCAATAAAACTTAATTGCAGCACATATTTACAAAAGAAGAAATACCTTCAGAAGTATTTCAGCTAAAGAGCCAATCATATGCAAGGCTCCATCTTTTTTTCGAGGATCAGCATTTGGTTCTGTAAGAATCTGGTAACAAAATCCCATTGTCTTCTGTAGTACCTAAATTAGGAAGATTAGCAACACTTTATGAATACCCCAACACTCCTTAAAAAGAAGCTAACAAAGACTCACATTAAAACTGAGTATAGGGGCTGGGGAGATGGCTCAGTGGAATAAGCGCTTCCCTGGCAAGTGCAAGGGCCTGAGTTCAATCCCTGGTTCCGAAAG